TAAATTTGTAATTATACTTTTAAAATCTTTTGATTATCTTTAGTTATGTGAAGTGTGCACACCCGGGTGTTGAATCCGGGTGTGCACCAATTATGATCCTATTATATAATTAAATTTTTTTATTTAAAGGTCATATATGATATTATATACATTTATTCATTTAATATTATATTATCATTGTTAACTTATAATCTCTATTATGTAATTGAATTTTTTTATTTAAAGGTCATATGTGATATTATATACATTTATTTATTTAATATTATATTTTCATTGTTAACTTATAATCTTAGATGGTATTATAAGTGTTTACTCCTAAAATAAAGATTCGATGAGTGAATGCGACGTGTCTAATTGAGACCAATTATTGCTCGAAATTGCACCATGCCAATGGGCCATTAGTGCTGATTTGGAACTGGTTCTGTTGTAGTCACAGTCCAGACTACAAGTGACGTGGAAGGCAAGAGGAGTTTGGATTTATTTGGCTTAGGAGATTAAGAGAGATTTTAAGAGAAGATCAAGTTAGGGTTAATTGGAATTGGTTAAGAGATCAATTATAGCTAGCAGACATTAAGTGAATTAAAGAAGTAACTGCTGCCAGACGTGGAAATAGTTAGGCACGCATAGAAGGTGATGGAAAGTGGATAAAAAATCTTGCAAAACTCCTCTAGAACGAAGGTAAAAGAAAACCTTGAGGGAAAATTCAGTTTTTTCAAACCTGCCCTTCTTGAAAATCATCTAGCGTGCTTAATTTTAGCTTTGAAAGTCTACTAGTTGTTTGCACAAATTTCAAACTTTAGTTTGTAGATTCCTTGTTCTTCACTATAATTTGCAACTTTCAATTGCCGAATTTGGAAGTGAACCAGCCTTGTAATTTAGGTTAGTGATTTTAGTGATTTTAGGATGAATTCTACTTCTTTACGTGTTTCATATTAGGGCTCTCTATTTACTTCCATCATGATTTCTTTTGTGTAAAGTTCACGCTTCTTAGAATTTGTTCTCTTTGAATGTTCTTTAGTTGTGAATCTCCCCATCTCCATATTTTAATTAAAGTTTATAACTTCAATTCTCAAGTAGATTAGTTAATTCAATCTCAATTAATTTTGGAATTAAACTTAGTTTGCATTTCAGTTTAGTTTAGCATCAATTCTTCAAGTAGATTAATTGATTTTAGGTTAATTTGGAATTATTCTAAATTTAATTTCTCATATGCAGTATGTTTTTCATAATCATAATCGTAGTCTATAGGTTTGTATAGTTACCTATTTATGAATTTATCTTGAATGCATGTTGTTTTTGTATTGTATTTAGTTAATTTTTTTAGGATATTATGTTTAATTTAAGATTAGTTGCTTGTTATACATAAGCATGGTTTAATGTTTTTGGAGTTGTGCAAGACAAGTAGTAACCCATTTTGTAGAACATCACCCTCTATTTTGAAATATCGTCTAAGATATAGAACAATTCTTAAATAAATGCCTTTTTAGCCATCTTACCTAAAGGTTGATTATTGAAAAGAGAGGATTGTCAAAGAAATTCTATTTTCTTTTTTTAAATAAAGTGAGTGGCATACCTTAAACCTAGACTCACTTGATAAGGTTAGTCAAGGATTTTTTAGAAAACAATAAGTCCATCGTCTCCAAGTTATAATAGATGGAATTTTCTAATATGTACTCTTAGGATATAAGATAAATATATATTTTCATCACTAATTTGCTTAAAAAAAATAAAAATTGACTTTAATTTTATCAACTACCTAATCAAAATTGCTACACATGATATTGGTATTGAAAATAAAATTTACTTCAGTGATTTTTTTATTTAATAATTAACTTTTTATTCTTTAAAAACTATAATATTATATACATTAATTTATTTAATAATATAACTTATACTACATTATTAATATTAAATTTTCATTCTAAAATTTGGACTCAAATTTTTGTCCTTCTTTCATTACTCAACCTAAAATTTGCAGATAGGCGGATTGAAAGAGTCAAGCTGTGAAAGGATTAAGAGTTGGAGGTTTTCTTTAACTGCCTATTACGTACTCAAATATTGATTGATGTACAAAAACAACTTGAAACGGAAAAAGTTCAGTTTAAGGGGTGCCTATTTTCTTTAAATAATGAGAAATAAAACAAAAATTTAATATTAAAATTTAAAGTTAATGATATAATATAAATTATATTATTTAAAATATTAAAAAATAAATTTAAAATATTTAATAATTAATTTTTTTTTATTTTTTAAATTCATAATATTTTATTTATTAACTAATTTAATAATATAAAATTTACCATATCATTAATTTTAAAATTCATCCCATACGTTTTTCATTCTCCAAATCACTACTCATTTTCTTTACTATATACTAATATATCTAAAATGGGTCAATCATAAATGTTTGTCTAAAAGTAAGAAATTTTGCAATATCCACTCCCTTAAATGCAGAGTTTGACGCAAATTTGTGGACAAGATAAGACCCACGTCATTCGGCCCACCTACCCTGATACACTGAGCGTGTTGCCACGCGCCCCACGTAACTGTGGGCCTCACCCATCAAAAAATCCGCAGACTCATCTTCGCTTTTTTCCTTTTTTCTTTTTTGGGTTAAAGCCAACTATAGTCCTCATACTTTGTGAAAATGTTCATTACCATCCCTCTACTACAGAAATGTTCAATGCCATCCTTGTTCTTTCCTTACAATGTAAATTGTCATCCCCTACTATGCCTTTTTTGTTCAATGTCATCTTTAACTGGATGCCATCCATGTTTCTATTAACTTCTGTTAAATTTGACCATTAAATGCGTAATAGTCAAATATTAACTTTTCTTTATTAATTTTTTTTCCAACAATGGGACCTTTTTTTTTTTCCTTTGGTTGTTATTTCTTTCTCTTTCTTCCTCACGACCGTTATCCCTAAATGCAAAAACCCTTGCCCTTATTCTTCACCATCTTCATCAATTCACCCACTCCTCTCCTTCACCCTCCTTCACCAACTTTCCATCTTTCTTTCTTTGTACACCATCTTCATTGTAACCCACAACACCCTAAGCCCAAAATCACCTAAAATCACTCAAAATCACCTAATTTAGCCCAAAAACAATCATGTAAAATTGTTGAAAATCAACTTGCTTTTCTTCACCCAATCATGAAACCCTTGCTCTTATTCTTCATTGTCTTCACCAGTTCACCCAATCAATTGCTCCTTTTCTTCACCCTTCTTCAACAACTTTTTGTCTTTCTTTCTTCACCATCTTCACTGTAGCCTACAAAACTCTATGGCCAAAATGGCCCAAAATTGCTAAAAATCATCTTGCTTTTCTTCACCTAATCATAGAATCACCCAACCCAAAATGTATTCGAGAAGCTATTATTAACTATGGATTTTCTTGTTGATTTTGGTTCAGTGATAACTATCGTTAATTGTTGATTTTCTTGTTGATTTTGGATTGGTGATATTTGTTATTAATTGTGGATTTTCTTACTAATTTTGGGTTGGTGATATCTGTTATTAATTGTGGATTTTCTTGTTGATTTTGGATTGATGATATCTGCTGTGGTATTATGGATTTTGATAGAGTTAGTTTTTGTTTTATATTATTGTAGAAGGATGACATGTTGTTGGGACAAGGAGCAAACACTGATGAATGAGATCTTGTAATTAAAAAGAGATAATCTACCCTTGCAAAGAGAGTTTAATGATTTGAAGAATTTAAACTTTGAAATGGGAAAAATGCTCACTGATCATGAGACAGTTGCTTCAAGTTGCTTGACATTGAAAATGTGTTTTCTTTAGTATTGCTTATTTGGCAATTAAGTTGTGTTAGATACTTGTCTACTTTTGTAAAGGGTTTTTTTTTTTTTGCTTTTGTAATGGGTCCCTTAGGCCAAGCCAAGGGCAATCTCCTATGTACTGCAAATGTGAAATGGAATATATGACTCCTTTTTGGCCATGTGAATTGGTAAAATACATCAATCTTTTGAGCATTTTTCAACTATATAAATGCAAGATTTACTAAAGTGAGCAAAACATAACATTGTAAACGTTGCAATTTCATTATAAGTAACTATATGGTTATTTAGGATATAATAGAAAAACATGACCAAATCAAAAAATACAAAAGTGCAACAAAAAAGCAAAAACCAAAAAGAATAATACAGAAGCAGACACTAAAAAAAATGGTTCTACTGGTCTCACTTAGGGATGTCAATGGGGCTCCGCTAGACTAGAGAGTCCCTCTCCATCCATTCGTGGGGACGGGGATCTTCACGGGGATTTGTGATGGGGGCCAGATTTTGCCCCCCATCCCCATTCCCCATAATTAATATTAAAATACAAATTTTTTAACATATAATTAATTAATATTCAATTAGAATGATTAAAATTCTAAAAATTTAAGTATAATTAATTAGATTCTTTAAATATAAAATCAAATATAAATAAAGATCAATTCAACATAAATAACTAAATCAATAAACTTGTTGATGATGGGTTGGGTTAATTTTTATGGGTTGGGTTGGGTAAAATTGGGTTGAGTTTAATTTTTATTAGATTGGGTTTGGGTTTGAACATTGAATTAAATTTAAAGTAAAATTAATTTACATTTTTTTTAAATTTTTTGCAAGAATAGGGATCTTTGCGTGGCCCCACGAGGCGAAGAAAATTCCTCGTGAAATTTCACAAGAAGAAAATGCCTCGCATCCCCACCCCGTCTCCGTAATGGGGATTCCCTCTAGGCTCATAGGGATCGAGACAAATTACCATCCTTAGTCCCACTGGTAGACAAAAAAATTAATAAGGAAAAGTTGAATGTTTGACCGTTACGTATTTAATGGTCAAAGTTAACAAAAGTTAATGGAAATGCGGGTGGTATCTAGTTAAGGATGACATTGAACAAAAAATGTATAGTAGAGGGATAACAATTTATACGGTAAGGAAAGTAAAGGGATAATATTGAATATTTCCTTAGTAGAGGGATGGTAATGAACATTTTTACAAAGTATGAGGACTACAGCCGGCTTTAACCCTTCATTTTTTTATTTTTTTTTTTGTAGATAAAGCAACTCCAAAAATCAAAATCCAAATTAACACAACACAACCAATAGTTTGACTAACAGACACGTAATCGAACCCAATCTTCACTTTCTCTCCATCCAAACGCCAGAAAGAAAATTCAAAACCAAAAAAATTCATGTTTACCTGACGGAAATTTAGTCGCCGATACAACGTTTTTCCGGTTTTCGACATTTCCGATCCTTCCCCCAGAAAGTAGCAGTGCCTTGCGTCATTTTCTTTCAGTTTCCCTCCCGATTTCTTGGAAAACGAACCTTTTTTTCCCAAATCAAAACTATCCAGTTGTGAGATACGGTTAATTTCCTCTGCAATTAAATTCAAACTGCGGTTTAGATAACAGTTTCCGAGTTTATCCGTTTGCCTCGATTTTAGCAGAAGGAAGGGAAGACAATCATCTCGGTTCCAGATAGGTTGAGGATTTTTCCGATTCTCGTTTTACGTCGTGGAATTGTGGTTTTTTGCTCTCTCCTTCAAAGATGATGAGAAGACAGCAGCAACAGCAGAATCGATATCAAGATCAGCAATCTAGAGTGTTGTCCGAGCTATCAGCTCTGGTTCTCAGCCTGCTGCGACCGCCGACGCCAATTCCGTTCACCGATCAGTCACCGGCGCCGTCGCGGAGGCCACCGACGCTGGCGTCTTCAACGACGAATTCTATATCTCCGGCAGGGTTTGCGTGGCTGATGCTTGGAATTTCGGTTTCGCTTATGCTGTGTGGATCAGTGACGTTCTTTATAGGTTTCATGTTGATGCCGTGGGTTATTGGTTTGGTGATGGTTTTTTATGTGGTCGGGATTGTTTCTGCCCTCTCAATGTTAGGTCGCTCCATTCTTAGTTCCGTCAAGGCACCTTTATCGCCGAGCAAGGAGATTCCTGGTAAATTGATTCCTAATGTTCTCCTTCCCTATATTCATATTGTGTATATTGGAAAAGTGCAAGTGTTTGTATATTTTGTTGAATCGGATGTTTTCTAGAGCTAATTCTTCAAATTATATTGACTTTACATCTCCTCTCTTATCCTCTGTATTCATCCAATTCAATTAGTGTCTTGTGTTGGCCAAAAACCATTCAGATTTCGGAAAATGTATTGGCGATAATGTATAGCATCATCATAAATGGTTGCTCTGTTAAATCTGGTCTAAGTTTGGTATTGTTGGTTTGTGGGTTGCTAATTGTTAAAGAGCAATGGCAAAACTGTATTGCTAAAACTGTGAACCAGAGAGAAAGCAGAAGTTGACATGCTTGTTAGCATTCAATCCCAACTAAATTCGTGGTGTTTCATATTTGAAAACTAATTTTAATTGACATGATTTGCAGAATATTGAAATCCATAATTAAACATTAATGCACTCCTGCATTTTGTGCGGGATGTCTAACTGCCTCCATAAACGAACCTTGGCCCAAATTACTCTTAATTAATCATTAATGACAAAATCTGTATCTTGTTTTCTACAACTTCAATTTCATCTTTAACAAACTGTATATTTAAGTGTATGATGGTACAAATTTTTATTATCCAAATTCTAAGTTTCTTCTTTCTACAGTGTCAGGAAGCTTTATAGTCCACAAAATTTTTTCATTTGATTAGATAGATTAATTGCAAGATTGGGATTTCTTTTGAAATATAGTTAACAGCCAGTGATAGAATATGAGTTAACAAACCTGTTGCTTTGGTTCAGTAAATTTGATGCTAACTTGAACGGGTTTTGCATTCTGTTTGCTTTAATGTTTGAGCTCTGATCAAACATGCCAGTAAACTAAATAGAGTGTGAATGTCATTACAGCCTGACAAAGCTTAAAGTTTTATTTGTAGTTTAGTGCTGAATTTCTTCTTTCTTTGGAAAGCTTTAGCATGGTTTGGACTAGGTTTCTCTTGGATTGCCTATGCCACTTTGTTATGAGTTTTACCTTCATAATTCAAGACTTTCTCTTGTAAAATGGTGGACTTTTATTTGTGCTTCTGCTATTCTCATACAAAGAGTTTTTCAAAATGGCATGGTTTTTTGATGTATTGAGTTTCTTTTACACATGGCACTCATAAGTTTACGATATCATGTACAAGGTTACTGATTAAGTTTCTTGAAAAAACATTTTGTGTTGCAGCATGGAAACTTATGTGAAGACTTAAGAAAATTGAGCAGCACTTGCATCCCTATAAGAAGTGCTGCCTCGCTCTACACTGTTGGGGGAGAAATTTTCCAGGATACTCAAAGTATTTATGCAAAGAATGTGGATAACTGTTTTGAGGAAACATTGTGGATATATTGGCATCTATTTTTAGTAGAAATTAGTCATTTGTGAAAGGATTAAACTTTCAAGTGCTAGTCTGTAATATGATTTTCCACTTGTAAGAAGAGATTGGGGAGCTATGTTTCCTATTCCTTATATTCAACTTCCATTGAACAAAATTTTCCTTGTTTTCTGGATTTAATTTCAACTCCTAGACATTACAAGTCCTATCACCTGTGCTGAAGAATCTGCATGCATTATAATACACGATTGTTAGTTACAGAACAATGAATATGGTCGTCTTTTCTTCCGATATCCCCGATGGCAGGTTCCTTCATTGATAAGGTTGGTTGTGCTGTGGCAGAGAGGTGGTTAAGCTGGGGCAGAGGATGAAGCCAGCCCAGGTAATTGATAAATATGAAGAGGTAGTTTCCTTTGTTCCTTTCTCTCTCATTCAGTGTTCGTTATCATTGTAAACAAGTTCCAAGTTGTGGATAAAATGAAGATATGGTGACGCGTTCATGTATTCATCTTCTGAAATTGTTGGAACACTTTTCTTTTAAGAGTCTTGAGTAATTTCCTTTTTCATTTTTCTTTTTTTTTTTGACATGTTGCATAGGAACGTGTAGATGGCAGGTCAGAGTTGTCTTGGATGGCAGTGTGGAACATTTGGTCTCTGAATTGTGTGTCGTAGAAACAAAATTATTCTGTTTGTTTTAACTATTGGGTTGGGTTGTGTTGTGTTGTGCGCTGTTTGTGGTCTGAATTTGGGTGGGAATAGGATGTTCAAGCAAGTTCCAGGTTTTTGTGAGAAAGAGACACATGCTTTTTCACTGGTCCTACGCTCTGATCCTGCGATCTTATCCCAAAGCGCCTTAAGAATTTAAAACTTTTATGATAAAATAATAATGCATGATAAATTTAGGTATTCAGTCGTCAGATTTAATTATCTCAATTTTATTTTTAGATGATTTTTAATAAATAATTTTTTATAATAAATAAATAATAATTGAAATTTTTTTCTTTTCATATAGAGTTATTGTTGAGTATTTTAACTTTTTTTTTTTGAATTTTTATTTATATATTATATAAAATAATAAATTTAATTTACATCAAGTTGAAAGACTAAAGCAACTAAAAAATTATCGGAGAGAGTATTTGTGTGGCATCAATTTTAAAAATATTTTTTTAGCTCCACCTAATTTGGTTTTGATTTTTAATTTTTTTTATATATATAAGTAACTATTAATATACTTATAAATCAGAATTTATTATAAAAATTAAAATTGAGTAGGAATTTATTATACAAAAATCTTATACACCACACTTACTCAAAATTTCAATAATTCATTTCTTCACTTTTAATTATTGAAATTTATTTACATTTATTAAAAATAATTATATTTTCCATCTAAAATGTTGTGATAAAATTTAACTATTAAAAATAAAAAGATTAATAGTCAAAATTTTGTATAACTATAATATATAAGACTTATATGTAAGTGAATATTAAAAAAAGAAATCCACATACACATAAATTTTATATATTATACTGCACATTACTCATATACTAATATTACTTAGGTTTCGTTTAGAAATATTTTTTGGTACTTTACATTTTTGTTTTTTCCATTTTCTACCATCTTAAAAATATATATACCAATTAAAATAAACATTAAATATATTTTTTATATCTTTTGATATTAAAAGATAAAAAAGCCTACAACTATAACTATAACCCACGCAGCATTCCCAAACAAAGCTTTATTAATCAAAATCATGCTAAATGAAATCTTATTTTTAAAAAATTATAAAATCTAGTTGTAGATTTTTTTTCTTCTTCTTCTTCTTCTCAATTTTGTTATTCTATAAAGTCAGGGAGAAATCAAAAATCCAAAGCGACCCCTAAAGGGTGCAAGTTTGAGCCCCCACCTCCACCTGTAAACCCTCAAAAGGTTTTGCAATTTCAACTTTGAGATCTCCATAAGCTATAACAAACCTTTACGAAGGTGAAAAGACGCTTTCAAGAGAACAATGTTTAATCTAATCAAATTCAAGGCTTTAAGCCCATAGAAGCTTTTATAAACACCAGCTCAAACAACCAAACACTATATATATCAATAGAATTTTTCAGTAACTCTTAATTGTTTACAAAAAATAAATATTTCATCACAACCCAAAAAAGAAAGAAAAAAAGGGGAATCTCCTACTAGAAAAATATGACAACATTTCAAACATATATAGAAGGTGTAATCAAAAGGGGGTAATTAAAGAGTTATCCGGTGTAGATGTGAACGCCAATTGCAATGAGGAAGATGGTGATGAGACCAAAGAAGATGATGGCATGGACAAGAATGGACAGTCCACTTGTCTGAAAGTTCCCAAACTCTACCACCCTGTTCTTCCCTGGCAACTGAAACAGCAGCCCTGGACTCAACAGCACGAACAGCACCACGGCTATCACCACCGGACCCCAATCCGCCATCTTCAGTGAATTAGACCTCGTCTATCTTGAAGGAAGGGAAAGAATTTATATGGTGGTGGACCAATATTGACACCAGTATGTGAATTGAAGTATGATCTGTGTGCTTTCTTAGATAGGAAGAAAGGAATATATGGGCAAGAATAATTTTTTATTAAGAAACGGCCCGTAAATGTTTTTTTTTATTAACTTATTAGTATCTAGTAATCACATTAGATCTTAAATAATTTGAAATCAAATCGCATCGGATCCCATTAGGGAAAACTCTCCCGACGCTTGTTTTTCTGTTCACAAAACTTGAACTCGAGATGTTTTTTAAGAAGAACCAAACCATTTTCACTCGAATCAACAAATTGTTAATATGAGTCCGCAAATATCAAATGTTATTCCATGTGACTCGAGGATTCTCTTTTCGAAATGTGCATATGATTCTCTAATAAAGTACCAAATAATTGCGTAATTCTTTGAAAAATCGAAGAAATCCAAATCTTAAGCAATCTCTCACTCGCATCGAAACGTAATTGGAAAGTTTTGAGGCTCAATCTTTAGCCTTTATTCTAGTTTAATCCTGTCATGTGCAGTTCGAACAGCGTTAACGGAACTGCAAAACACTAGTGAATTTATGGAAAAGTCCTTTCCTATTACCACCAAGGGTCCTAATTTTCAAGTACTGTTCAAAAAATTATCAAGGATCTTAATTATTTAATAATTATCATTTTAAAATATAATGTAGTCTAAATTTAAAAAAAGGAAAAACATTTTGGTTAACAATATATTATACATATATAATTCATAGGAAACATCATGTACTTAATTTACTCGGTTAAGCTTTTTTTTTTTTTTAATATTTGCTGTTAAGATGTTTTTTAGCTAATTTTCATGGATCTTAAACTAATACCTCATAAGAACACATCTTTATATTGGTTTGATAAATTTAAAGAAATTAATTTTCATAAGTATTAATTTTAAAATTTAAAATTTAAATTTAATTTATAAAATAATATTTATTTATCAATAAATTCTAACTTATTTACTAAGCTTTCAAGAAAGATTGGAGACAAGGCATATGGAACCATGGGAATGCTTTGGGTTGAAGAAAAGCTATGGAAATGGATGAACATATGTTGGGGCCATTTTAATTTCTTGTTTGAAGGTTTGGTTTGACCATCACTCTAATGAGCTGCAATAGCAAGGATTCACCGACTTCTATTAAATTAAATTAAGGTCGTTTTCTTAGTACTGGCAAAACCCCAAATCTACGTTTTAAATAAGAGAGTAGAAAGAGATTTTGTTTTTAAAAAATAAAAAGATAAATTATTTTTTAAAATTGTTAATTAAGATAAATTATTTATTATTTAACATATAATGTCATCATATACTAACTTTTTATTAAAAATATTTAGATGACAAATAAGTTTTTGACCATATGACTATATTACATATTAAATACAATAAATAATTTATCTTAATTTATAAATTTAAAAAATAATTTATTTCTATATTTTTAAAAATAAATCTATCTTTGCCATTTTATTTGAAAGATTGATTTAGGAGCTTTGCCAACGCTTAATAGCACGAAACCTACTTGCTCAATTATCTAGCCAGTATAAAATTGTGAAGGCTTTGAAATATGTGAATATAAGTTTCGTAAAAAAGAGAATTTTATATCTCTATTTATTAATATATTAATATTATTTATTAAGTTTTTTTAATTTGTATCTTAAAAATATAAATCAAAAATATTTTTTGTTATAAATATATATAATACTATATAAAAATTGATATTAAATTTATTACTAATGCTAAATGAATAAATTTAATTAAATGATTTATAAATTAAAAATTAATTTTATTTTTTAATATAAATTTATAATAAGAAAATATATTTATTATACTTTTAATATATACTTTAAAAACATAAATAAATAATAAGCACTTCTTGTTTAAGATTGAATTTAATATATTAAAATAATTTAAATAATTAATTGATAATTTTATTTTCTTAAAAAAAATCCTGAATTTAAATTATATAATGTAAGGTAGACTGGGCTGGAGGGTGGTGGAATTAGTGGATGGAATCCATCGTGCAACTCAATATTATTAAAAAAAATAATAATAACAAAGATTAAGCTTGACCTTGGATCTTATTTATGCCTTTATTATTCAACGCTAAGCTTATTAAGGGATTGCATGTACATTAAATAACAGCAGCTCCATTGGAAGCACACCAAACAGCCATGACTCCGTGGAATGTCTTGTCTTCCTAATATTCCCCCGTACTTTTAATAAGTTGGGTGCATAGACGTTTTAATAAGTTGGGTTCACAAAATTAAATTAGGCGTTAGCCTAGCTCTAAGAAATAGATATAAAATTCAACTCTAATTTATTTTTAAAGTTAAAGAAATGAATTGAGTTAATTTTAAAATTATAATTATTTAATTTAATAAATAACTTTTATCTTATAATTTAAGTTTAGAATGCATTTTTAAAACTTTTTAGTAATAACTTAATCATAAAATACAAACAATTAAGTCTGAAAACACTCTAACCATACAAAAATAAATCCAATTAAAAGAGAATCGACCTTTTTAAAACACAATTAAAATAAGAGATTTTAGTTAAAGTAAATGTTAGAGGATAGTTATATTTTACAAATTAATCAAGACAAAAGTTACAGAAGAGCTCAATTGGGAAGAGAGTACAACAACTTCTCAAGACCAAACACATATTACATGAAAGAGAACAAAACACCGTCAATGGTTGATCCTAAATTAAAGCAAAATAAAAAAAAAAACATTAATATTAAAATATGTTGAACCATTATATGTCACTAAAATGATGTCAAACTATGTAAAGATGAACCTTGACAGCTATGAAGAAAACACAAACGAGGGCAAAGTAAAGCAGGGTATGAATAAAAATGGACGGACCATTGGTCTGAAAGTTGCCAAACTCCACATACCCCTTACGCCCTGGTACCTGGAACAGCAGCCCCGGCGTTAGCAATATGAACATCACCACCGCAACGAAAACTGGACCCCAGTCCAACATTTCCCACACCTACTTTGTGTTTCTGATGTAGTTGGTGAGATACAGGAGAAGGAGAGACTGATGCACGCTGGCTACAGGGGTTCTCTGGCTTATTTATATATGCAGAGATATTTGGGCTTTTTGTTTAGTTGCATGTGATTTCTAGTTTAGACTTGCTTGTTATGGTTAAAAGCAAGCAAATGATAATTAAATAGTTTGTGAATCTCTAATTTTGGCTGACATTGGGTTTGCATATGCAGAGAATGTGTGACGTCCAAGAAATTGAAAGTAAATTAATCAATTTTGAAGGCAGAACGAGTTATAATTCTGAAGGTAGGGGCGTAAACCTGAGGCTTTCGCTACCTTGACCACGTAAATATCCAACATAAAATTAATAGACAGTGGACTAGCTTACTCAACATCAGTCTTAACTTTAATACTATATGAGCATTCAACCTGAAACCAGTAGGTAGAATAGTCCGTTCTATACTTAAAACCAAAGGGTTTTCCATTAATTTAGATTTCTTCACTTAACAAACCAAAGAAAATTAATTATGGCATTACGCACAATGTGGAACTCGTTATTTAACGGAGTGATTCACTCTAAGACCTTATTTGGTTTGGAAAAAATGTAAGAGATTCCACTCTACCTAACAAAAAGAGAAAGAAAAAGGAAAATTGTTGTTAATTTCATATATGTAATGATATGAACCATCATTTTCTCCAGAAGAAAGGTACAGAATATGGAGGCATTGGTCTATAATAAGCAAAAGTGGGAAGATGGCCCCCTGCATTTGTCTAATGTTTAGGGCATGAATGGTCTTTATCTATTGAATTATTGGCTATTGACCAAAATTTCTCTTCAGCACGGTAGTTGTAGACTTGTGGGTTAGTAAAGAGACGGATGTCGGGTTGATTTTGGACCAAAATAACTGAAGAACATTGACCTTTTAAATTATATATATATATAAATGGTTTACAGAGAAAACCAAACTACATTGATCCTTTATTTGGATTGAAGTAGTTGCAGGGGAAAGGGAAGAGAGTAAGAGGGACGTCTCTCCTTCCTATTGTTTGAACAAATTTATTAAGGGGGAGGGAAGGAGGGGGATGAGGTAGTTAGAGGGGAGATGAAAGCCCTCCAAATCCTTTTGTTTCTAATACCTACAATTTGGAAAAATTTAGAGATATACAATTTATTTTTATTTTTTAAATTCATAATATTTTATTTAT